AAGCAAGCAAGCAAGCAAGCAAGCAAGCAAGCAAGCAAGCAAGGAAAGAAATTGGGTGAAAAAGTGAAGGAAAAATTTTATTTACGTTTCTTTTTCGTCGTCTTTCTTTTCTTTTTCTTCTTCACTTTCTTCAGAAACATTTGTATTCTTTTTCAGTTCTTCTTCATCTGTATCTTTTGTCTTCGTCACGTCTTCATTTTTCTCTTCCTTAGAGTTGATAAGCTGTTCTTTTCTCGAAACTTCTTCAATGACGAGTTTGTTGTCAGCAACGTCGAGTGTTTCCTCAACATTCTTGACTTTACAGCATATTTCAGTCTATTTATTCCAGAAAAAAAACCAAAAAAATTTCAAAACTAGACTATATTCCTTTTCTTAAAAAAACGTTTTAAGACAATTCTTAACTTAATAATAAACAAAACAAACAACTTCGTAGTCAAGTTCCTTAAGTTAGACTGAGTTGTGAACTATCGCTGATTGTCCATAGTGCATTTCGGGATTGGTATGCAATGTATACGACATGAATAAAACCTTTACCAACGTTTTGGAAATAGCTGTATATCATCTTACCTTTGTTCGAGTTTCTTCTACAGCGCAAGTTTTCGAATTCTTATCAACTTCGTTACTTATTGAGGTACTTTCTGCTTTATCTTGTTTGCTGTCGTTTTTGGAGGCGGGTCGAAGGGAAAGTAGACGTCGAAGCATGATTTTACGAACAATTGCTTCAGGATCGACAAACCTTACTGGAAGAAAAAAAGTGAAAATTTTCACAAATGAGCAGTTCGAATTCTTATTTAGAAATGAAAACTAGATAGCGAGTATAAACCAATTAGAGCTGCTTCAGATCCAAGATGGCGTCTGATTTCGACTCCTAAGACAGTCCCACAATGCACTGCAATGCCAATTTTCAAACTCGCGTTTCGAATTCTCTATTACTCGGGTTCAGCCTGGTATAGCTTGTATAAAATATCCATGCGTTATACTAACCGATTCGAAATATGGCGACCAATTGAATAGTTATTGACGTTCTGGGCCCGGTTGTACAAAGCCTGGATAGCGCTATCCGAAGGACAAATATTATGCAGTGGATAAATTTATTGGAAAACAGCATTGACTTATCTGAATAAGGATTTATCCGCCGGATAGCGCTATTCAGGCTTCGTACAAAAGGGCCCAGAGGGTAGTCAGTCCAGAACCCTGTTGTAAGAAGGGTCGATAGCGCTATACGGCGGATAAATCTTATCCAGTGGATAAATGTTTCGGATAACAGCATCGACTATCGCTTCATAAGGATTTATCCGTTGGATAGTGCTATCCACCCTTCTTACAACCGGGCCCAGAACGATAGTTATCAAAATAGGTCGCCATATATTCTTTTCGGTGTATGATAGATCCATGAAATGATGGAAAACATCATTCCATCTTGTTGAAATTGTGCATTTGGTGGTTATCATTTATTGAATACGAATTTCATTCTTTATATTCTTTATATCATCATTGCAAAATATAATAGTCTTTTTTTGTTTATTATATAAACGTATGTCAACGCCTTCAATTGCAAACGTTCATCGTTATACCTTGTTTTGACATATCTGTCAAAAACAACCTGTTGCTCTTGGGAACCTAGCTAATTCTATCATTAATCACTCCCAACAGGGCGTAAGTAATAACAATGTCAATAAAGAAATATAAGGTTTCATTTTCGCTCTCGTCCTATCTTTTCTTAGCCTTGCTATTTTCAATGCTGTTAAACGTAAAGCATGAGTGCATCTTAATAGTTGGGAAAAAGAGTATGACCTAGGAAGAATGCGAACTTAGTTTGCAGAAATTTTAGCAATAAACCAGAGCAAAGACATATCAATTTTATCGAACCCTGAAACAAACTCTGGTCTCATCGAAGTCAGGGAACGGCTAACTCATAGATCAAGGTGTTTGCTTTAGAGTCTTGAAAATGTTTTGTATAGCTTTTTCTTTTGTTTGTATGTTTTAGAGAACCACGAGCTGGAAGCATAAGCAGTAGAAAATTGCAAATAACTAATGATAGAGCTCTTAGTTATGATACTATAAAAATATGGGACTATTAACTTTTTCACACTATAACGTTAGCTCTTAATAGAAAACAATGCGAGAAATATAGATTTATATTTTGTACAACCTTTACAAGTCTCTTCTACAACAAGGTATAAAATCTTATTTCAAAAGTTCAAAAGATGAAATCAGTATTAGTAACTTAAATTGCAGATAAAATTTTATTTAAAGAAGCCTGAGCATAGCATGMAGTCTGTGCCGAAACTGCGCGAAAACGTATTGCAATATATGATGTATTCTTCACTTGCAAATATCTGTAATTTCTCAATATACTGAGTTCACAGGCTTCATAAGTGCAGTGTTAATCTTTTAAGATTTAAAAATTGGTTAATATGTTGGTCGTTAGTAAAAATGTGTTCCAAATTTTGAAATACAAATGGCTAGTTTCAAAACCTTTGCTTACCTCTTTTAACTTGTGTATGCTCTGAACGCTCGGTAGTGTACATCTGAAAACCACGTATCATTAGCTAATTATAAAATCACTTACTTTTTAAAAATTCATAAAAAAACGTCAGAAAACAATAGAGTTCAAAAAACCTGCAAAAATTGAACTAGTCGCAAAATAAAGTCTTAATAAAACTAACGTAAAAAACTATGAGACTTAAACTTGAGATTTTTATGTAACGTTTATTCAAGTGCTTCTGTTTTGAGTTTAGAAAAAATATATTTTTTGGAATTACGTTGTTTACGTGAAGTATGGTGAAAAACCACACCCCTTAAGCTAACAAATGAGAAAACTGCGCGACCTTAGACCACACCTAACTGAAACTTGAAACCTCGTATGAGATCATTCCCTTATAATTGAATCTTAGCCAGGATTTCTAATAACATAGGGATTAACTTACAGCATAGGACTCTTTGCATATGTTTGTAGTCCCATCTGATACGTTTTGGACTGAAATTTTCGAATGGCTTCCCTTTCGTGAGAACTGAAGGGTGCGACTAGTTTTCGTCTTGTGATCTGTTTGATTGTTATTCACTCTTTTTTGGAATCCTGCTAAGTTGAACTCTAAACAAGTGTCCAAAATCTCACGGAAAGGGCTCTGCAAGTTTTTACAGAACTTTGTAAACACGTAAACAAGATTTTGCCTCATTCAAAAATTTACAACGCATTTGCCGGGACATTCATAAACTATTCCATTTTTTCTATAGCAGATCTAAAGTAACTTTTTTCCTATGCATCTTTGCTGCTTGATCTTAGCATATTTTATATCGACTGCGTAGACACAGACGTTGTCTGGTTAAGAGCTTTTTAATTCGGCTTCCAACCTACCTGAAGCATTTGAAACTAATGAACTACTAAAAAATCTAAAATCTCGAAGAGTATGTCGTTATATCTGAATCGGCATAATGAATGATACTTGTCAAATAATTATTATTGAAATTTTTCATATAGTTTTTGTATTGAATAGGACATAACTTTATTACAATGCATGGACAAATAGTTATCTCTCCCTGGAGCGATCCGGTAACGAGTACTATATTGAATTGTTGACATTAAACATGACATCAATCCTTAATGACCCGCGCCTGCTCACCACGGCGCTTCGTAGTAAATTTGGCAGGGACTTCGTTATGAATCGTATAAACACAGCGAGTTAATTTGTACTAAAAATTTGTACCAGATTGTCAAAAAATAGGAAGTTTCACTTTTTCCTCTCATCAACTTTATGATATCAATATATGCAAATAACGTGGCCGGACAAAATGTTCGCATTATTATATGTTCAGAACAGAGAATGTCATTGCGAAAAAAATGGCCACATCACTTACGAGTTGAAAAAATTTGGAGAGCGAATAGTGGAACGAAGACTGAATAAACTTAGTCAAATGAAAAGTTTGTGTCAAAATTAAGTTTTCGTAAAAGAAAGAGAGAGTTAACAGAATAGATGCTTGCATGTACATTTTAGTAAAAAAAAAATATATTTTTTTGCAACATGTACTTGGTATTCTTTCTTTTCAGAAAGTCAGTGGAATGTTTTTATTTTTATTGAAAACCTGTTGAATTTTATTTTGAAACGTTGAAAATTTCGCTCAAAACCCACAAACACATGTCCTCCTAAACACTAATTAGGTCTTCATTAACTCAAGCGGATGTTGCTGGTATTAGCAATGGTACCGGCAGTAACAGGTGTCCAGAGAGAGAACGGATACGATCAACTCAGTCTTAATTGAAATATCCTGTATTTTCATGCAATGTTGTCAAATATTGCCCTACATACTGCCATGTATCAGAGAATTCTCAAACTTACTCAAACACTGAATAGTTCGTTCCACATGTGGGAAAATAATTTTCAAAAATTTCGTCGAAAACGCTGACATTTCATTATAAAAACTGTAACTCTATATTGTAAAATATCACCTTAAAAATATTGTCTTAATTATTCTCGTAAATAATCTAATATAGCTTCTTGTTTCTGGATCATTCTATGGTTTCCTATTTCATAAGAATTTTCTGTAGGTATGTGTAGGTAAGACTAAGATTTGTCACAACTGAAGGTGTTGATACTTTTAGGTAATGTCGAATTCGAGTCAAAACAGCTCCGCCCTACTTAGAACGAATTTGAGTAACACTTTCTCTGTGTGCGAAAAATTCTCGCTTGCCAAGTGATTTCACGCCGTGTAATTCGCGAAAAACCATTTACAATATTATGGATATATAATAGGATTCCCATTTTTCGCTTTTTTGTGTTGCGTGACCTCCTGTGCGTGACTAAAGACACATGTTTTCCATGCTTGAAAATAATATGTACGACAATATTTCATAGCAGAAGGGCGCACAAAAAGCTCTACATTTACACTATTAAATTAGCTATAAGATGGTCAATCATGTGAGTTAAAATTGTTCCTTATGTTAGCTATACTTGACATGCGTAAGATTCAATGGTTTTGGCGGTAAAAGTAGGTGCGGTGCGCGCTCTGGAACATCTTACAAAGCAAGTCCCTCGATTACTGTGTGGACTAGAGAATTTGTAATCGGGGGAACGGTGCTTATGACCGGGTTGGGAGGGGGCGGGGTAATTTAAAAGGGAAGGGGAAAAAACGTCTACCCGGAAATCCGTTCTATGATAAAGCTTTTAAAATGGATAATAAATAAAGGAAAAAAAAAAGGACTTCCATTTCAATTGAACAGCAATTTTCATGAAAGCGGCAATAGCTGTAAAGACTGGTTTCGCTCTAGCTAGCGATGCAAGCCGACTCACTAAGAAAAGAGATCAAGGTTTTGTTTTTCCTGCGTTGGTAGCGCTTGTACAGTACTTGCACCGATAGCGATAATTATAATCGAGACACCGGGGCGGGGGGCTTTATATATTGAATCAGGGAGGGCTTTTATTGAACCTGGGGGCTTCTGGTTGGCTATTGAGGACTATCATTGAACCGGGGTTTTTTAACTGGGATTCTACGGTAATACATTTCAAAAATCGCGCTTCAGGCGACTCAATATCTTCATTATCTTCCAACTAGTGCTCTATCATTAATGCTGCGTTCTGATTGGATGAGCTACTTAAAGGCTATAACTATATCCTGCTATCTAGTAGCGAAAAGTGCCGGCGTTTTCCGACTAGTTAGAATTTACTAAAACAATTAGTCATCTCGCCCGTTCATGGCCCATTCCGCCTTTGGACCCGAGAGTAGATATCTCTCACTAATGATTGAAGTTCATCACTTCATGTCAGAATTTATGACCATTCAATGACAAATGTTAGTGTTATTGTTTATAACTATAAATAAATAAATACAATATTTCATGATCACTTGCTTGTCTTTCAGGGATTGTTATGAAATAGTCAAATTAGAACTTGTGAATTTATACGTAAAGATAAGAGTGATGTTACATAGACAAAGCTGTATTGAGATAAATATTAAAAAACACTACAAAAAGTTTATTATACTGAGACGACAAGCAGTCAAAATACTTGCTCTAAAATGAGTGAACGGTATAAATATTATAAATGTTATAATCTGTTATAATTTTTAAATACTTTCTTAAAATAATTATCCATCGTTTGCAAACTAGTACTGAGTTGATTCAAAACTTCGTAAGAAAAATTGTAGTATTTGACGGTATGCATCTTAATTGTTTGTAAAAGAATCCATAAAAGTGTGTATAACGGTTGCGCTAGGCTAGAATCAACATAACAATAAACTCAATACCCAACACGTGCGCACACATGACAGATAACAAGTGGTTTGCAAACATGTACAAGAAAAAATGCCTAAGTTTCTCGCCTTGGAAACTATAGAAACCACCTCAAAATCACACGAGAAACAAAGAAAAACATAAAGCCCTACATTTTTTTCCCTTTTTCTTTTGAATATTTGAATGATGTTACAATATCATTGTTACTCAGTAATTGATGTCTGAGTCGGTGATTGCATGACTTTATTTTACGTTACACGCGCGAAGAAACGCGTGTGCACCTTTAGTACCTGCAGTTTTGAAGAGCCAATCAAAGGCAGAGATTTCCTACAGTAACGCAAGGCTGTAAAAAGCAGTTCATTCGCTATAACATTAATCAGCCAATTTATGAAATAAAATGCTTTGGGGGTTTGAAACGTCTTGAAAACGATTCCTTGATATACTGTTTTACTTTTAAAACGCTTTAATACGTATAAACTATATATTCTTGAAGTATTTCACGTTTTGCTTTATATGTTTGTTTTTGTTCAAATAACTTGGCATTTATTAAATTTTTGACAAAAAGCATTAAAGGAATTAAAAACTTAGACAAGTTTTGTTTTCACATTCAGTTTTCACCACGTTACTGCCACGTGTCTAGATCGACTCTAACGCTGAAAACTTACTTCCCACGAGTTTCTACATCAACAGCCCGCTGAGGCATTTTCGTTTTCTTCTCCAGCCACGTGGTTTAAAGCCGTTACTAGGTAACAGCTTCAGCAAACTGAGCATCAACCGGAGACGTGGACTTAAGGGCCACGTGGTATATGAATGCTCTTTTTATAATAATAGAATTTCACTTGAATGTATCAGCTTAGAACAATTTTGTAATATGTATACTTAAACGCCTAGGAAATGAGATTTTTTTAGCCTTTTTAGGGCTTGCTTGATTGACACAAGCGTGGCATGATATCCCGAGGGCAGTAATTTCAATCCCAACGGTCTTGATTCGATATTTTTTAATTTTCTTTTCCAAAGTCAGATTGTTTAGTCTGAATTATTGTCTATCTTCGCACGAGTATGAGAGGTGCTTGGACAACGCGGGAGACAGGCGCAAAACACGCCGTTCGACTATAGGTGTTAAACACTTCACTAATTAAATGAATGACTTTTTAACTAAAATTCGCTAGAAATAAAATAAATAAGAAAAGAATGAGAAAAATGTATGTACTAAACATAAAAACTGATTGGATGAATACTTTCTATATTTCATTCTCAAGTGATTGAAAAAAGACATGGCCGTCATGAATTAATTGATATATTAGAGAGTTTTAGATTGACTTTCTTTTCTCCCCGCAAACGGCAAACGTGACCACGTTTTCATAGTCTTCCTTTATTTTACTTTACCTTTTACAAACCTTCTCACCAAGCGCAAATACTCTTTTGTTTTTCTAATACTTGGACTTTTTTGCGATTCTTTTTCAGTAATTTAAAAGAAGTTTTACTGGTCAACTGACGTTTCACGTTTGCCGTGAACGTAAATCTAAAACTCTCTAAGAATGTAAACAACACTGGGGAAAATCGTATCTGGAATACACTCCTTAATGTCCAACATGGCCGGTATGCAACAGTCTTTTATTTGTTTTTGCACTTTCTTTCCCCACTTGGTATAAAATGGTAATATAATACCCAATGGTCGTTCAGTGGGAATAACATGCCAAGATTATAGCACTTTGGATCTAAGCTTGCGACCAAATTTAAATTAGAATGCATTGCATCGAGAAAGCGAAGTTAGAAAGTAAAACTAAAGTGAAACTTTTTTCATAAAAGAAAATATGTCTTTATAATGGAAATACTTGAAAATCTTAATGCGAAAACGAAAGCACTTTGCTTGTATTTTCTAATTTTACGCTGACAAAGAAGGAAAAAAAGGAAAAATTTATCTTTCTCTAAGCAACGCAAACCCATTGTACAACGAATACCATTCAATGTCCGGTGTCGTGATACTTTTCTGTATATTTAAATCTTTTATGATTAACAACCTTTACAACGTTTTTATTTGCAGAAAAAAACCATTATTTGTTGTTGCATCTAAAAAACAAACTGTACATGTGTAACTTATATTAACATTTAGTGTTTTTTAGATAATTCATTTAGATGATAATCTACGTCAAATTCATGGAAATCCAGGAAAGAAACGAAAATCAGTATTTCTGAAAATATTTTTGACAGCCAATAACGTTTTTGCAACTTTATATTAATTCGACAGGTCGTAGATTGATATGAAAGACTCTTGGAATTTAGAAATACTAAATATTAATGGTTATTATATAAATTTAGAAATACTTTATTTTAACTCCATATCCATTCCATTTCATAATATATATCATTAAGATGACTTATTTTTAAGCAGAGTCAAGTCCCAACCCAAGCTTTCAGCTAACAGTGTCGTTGTTTTTATAATCGCTTTTTTGAACTCACCACCCACATATCCATGCCGTTTCTTTGACTTTCGTACTAGATTGATAAATACCAGTTCGATTAATGTGTAGAGAAAATTGCATAATGTTTGTCGAATATATTTTTGATAAATTTATTGGTTAGCGGATAATGTTTTTGATCATGTACATCTTCACACATTTTTATATCCAAGATTCAAGACTGTCGTTACAATTCCGTCCAACTCGCCTAAGTGTTGCTTAATGTCTTCGACCCTTGGAATGTACTGACTTTCATCCTGAGATATTCCATTAACTGCCTTCCTTATTTCATTAACACTGTTTATAATCTCTTCATAACCTGGTACTTCTGCATTAGCTAGATCTTCTAGCGTCCTATTAAACGCGCCATGATCATTGTTTAGCTGTATTTTCAATTTCCCGCAAAGTTCCCGCACCGGACGAATCGACGGGATCCCGTGGCCGTAGCGATCAATCTTCGCAAAAGCAGCGGTTAGTTTTTCCACAGCCTTAGCTATAAATTCAAGATCCTCTTTCTGGCATACTTCATCGTTTACACTCTCGTTGTCGCTTTCTGATAAAAAGAATAGACTCCTACGGCGACAAATTTGAGATTTGCGGAATCGTCCATTACTGCTTTCCTGCACTTCCATCGTCACTTTGTTCAGATTTTCCATACTTTTCCATGATCTTCGTAGATTTGAATTCTTTTTCATCTCCCTTGGGATACGGTTCATTTTCTTACGACTGTTGTGTGGTTTCCCTGCAAACTAAGCAAAGCCACTAATCTGACAAGGTTTTATTTTGCCGCCTAAACGCGTCGGGGCGTCTCCCTAATCGACACACCCAATCACGGATGATCTCATAACACCCGACTGGATTCGCTAGGCTCCTTGAAAACGTAACTCAAATACATACATCAGTACGTGCATTTTCGTAAATATAAAGAGTTTTAGATACTCACCTTACTAATTTGATTAATAATATCTCCCTAGGGTGGGGAGGGTAGTTTGAGGAAGGGAAAGGAGGGTAAGGACATCCATCCCGTGAGGCATGCTGGACATCATAGACACGTGACTAAAGGAATTTGGACAAACTTGAGGAGAGTTGAATGTTTTTATTCCAGAAACGTTTTATTCCAACAATAAGGTAAAATATCTTTATATTTAGATAATATATAGTAAATGAGGTCTTAGTTAAAGCATATTTGTGTCGAGGTTAGGTTTTTAAGCCGTAATTCCAACTTTCAACGACATTATTTTAGACCAATTTTTCATGACAAAGAACTTGATCTTCAAATTTTTATAAGCTTAAGTGAAGCTCTTAGTTTTTCTTTCAAAACTTGATTTGAGTTTAGATAAAGATTATACTCCAAAAACTAAGTGAATTTTTATATTCTGAATAAGATAGAATTAGGTGCATTTAAGATATTTTAAAATTTTTGTGAGCTTATAAGAATTCAATTCCTTTGGTATACTTCGATTCCTCTTTGATTTGTTTTAAATTATAATTTTAAAGGTTAATCAACTATTGAGTCAGAGGGCCTTGGTATCACCATCTCAGCATGGCCGGCTTTGATTTTTGATCTCTTGAGCCAGGTAAGATAATACCCTTACAGGACAAAGGTACTGAAATGTTCAGTGTTATGTGAACTCAGAAATAAGTTGCGATAACCATTGAAATTTGGTTTTTCATTTTCTGTCAAACAAAAATAGGAAAATATGTACTGACTGGCATGATTTTGATTGACACAAGAGAAAAACTAAATTTCAGTGTGCAATGCAGCTTCAGCAGAAAACCTTCAAATTTTTGATGTAAGTCAGGGCAAGGCTAACTCACAGATCAAACCCTGAAACAACCTCTAGGCTGATCTAAGTCAGAGCAAGCCTAACTCACAGATAGAACCCTGAAACAACCTCTGGACTGATCAAAGTCAGAGCACGGCTAACTTACAGATTGAACCCTGAAACAACTTCTGGGTCAACCTATTAGTCATTCCAAATGACCCCAGAGGGGCTGGCATGTGTATTTTTTTACCCACAAATGTAAACTGTCTAGCTTGCTGATTGTTCTAGAGCCATGGTAAGTAAGAGGGCACACCACCAAATTACATTTTTAATTTGCACACATTGAAACTCACTGTTTCCCCCCCAGATATTTTGCATCTTCATCAAAAAACACCATATTGTATGTCCTCTTATTTACCACGATATGGTGACCATTGAAAATTTGTTAAGTTTATAATACACAGAAACAAGGCTCGAGGTGCTTTCCGAGCAGCCAGTTCTCAATATGGTATGCGGCAGTTCTATATAACTGGTTGACCGAGTTCTAAAAACTAACAAGAACTGATGCTTACCATTTAGAACTGGCTGCTCAGACTGGTAGGTTCAAATTAATGGAAAGCATCCTTAGTCTCTACTCGAATGTGATGTGTTTAAGGTGGTTGTCAACAAGGTATTTGTTTGAAAATATATTTGTTAATAATAAAGGCAAAACTCAGACTCACAGGAAATTGCTTTTATTACAACTGTAACCATGAAAACTATCCATCCTTGTCCATAAATAATTATAATATGACTGTATCTTAAATGAAAAGAATAAATTATTGAACTAAATAAATAACTATTTAAGTTTTTACAACTTTTAAAATTGCCTTCTCGTGATAAAATCTTCCTAAATGATAGCGTTCCAATTCAGTATTCATTCTAGTTTTTGGTTCAATAGTCTTTTCTTTATTCCTCTCTCTTTGTTTGAAGTAGTTCCCCTTTGAAATAATTATCGTGAYGAGCAAATAAAGGTCTTCTCTCAAACAAATTTTTTTAGTTTACTGAACTGTAGGATTTGCATGATCTTAAATATATATTTTGCTTATATTTTGATTTTGTTCCCATCTAAAGCAGATTATTAGTACCTAGTATTAATTTAATATCGTATCGACTTTTTTAAGTGAAGATTTTTGGTATCCGGAATGAGCGTGTTTTGTTTTAAATATGAAGTACTGTGGATTAATGTTTGGATTTATCTTTTGCTTAGAATAAAATAAAATTGCTCAAAGAACAAATTTAAAAATTACATTAATTAAAAGAAAAAGCAAAGAAGATTTGCAGGACAAAATAATTATTTTTTTTGATGAAAAAATTCCAGTAGTTTGAAGCAGGTTTTAAATTGCTTCATGAACCAAAACAAAGTTGCAACTGGATTTTTGTTGCTGATCAATAATTATTGTAAAGCCATAATATTTAAAGAGAAAAGTAAAGAGTACATTGACCATTTTAAAAAGAAAAAAAAGTGAGCCATCTTGTGATCATATCTAACATTTGTTTTCATTACTGGAACTTAATATTTCTCTTTGATCATGTAACTTACAATGATGTAATTGTATTTTTTGCACTTCATTCAAATGATCATTCTTGTATGAAAACTTAGGGATTCAAGTATCCAACAACAACAAAAAAATTTTTTTTTGTCCTAAATGCTCTTTGCTTTTATTTAAAATTTGGGATAAAAACGATAAAATAAGATCAATAAAACTTGAACTATGAATGTTGAACAATACATACATTAATCTATACATTTCCACGATTGAGAAGGCATAAAGTGAACACGATTGCCTTAAATGGTATAGCAAATTTTTTTTACAAAGGCATAATCTTGGATTCTGAATTTTAAACCAATCCTTCATTTTAAATTTTTTTCCTAGAAAATATGTGTTTCGTTTAACTTTTCTAGAAAAGTAGAATTTGTGAGTACAAATTTTTGGATTGTCAATGAATAATATGTGTACCATTTTATTGGAAGTTCAATTTGAAAATAATGTTCCAAGAATATTATAATATATTGGGCCTAGAAGATGAGATAAAATGTGTATACTTTGAATATCCAAGTATGGTAGTTTGTTTTCAAGGCTGGTAGGTTGTGTGGAATTTCTTTTCCTCTAGAGATACAGCATCAAACTGTCTTTTAACTGGATTATTGGTCAATTAAAGATGACTTTGTCACAGGTGCTGTCTCTCTGATCAGGGCAAACATGTTTCATCATCTTGCTCTGCAAGTGTTCCAAGATTTTGTTTCTGGAGAGAGAGTATCTCAATTGATCCATTTTAAGATATCATACCACATACCAGTCCTTAAGTCTGTTACTCTTCAATTTGCTCTCAGATACACATTGCCACGGTTCACAAGATTTACTCTGAACTTGGATTCTTTGTATCGAGAATGTTGCAGTTAATTAAGGAAAGGTTTCTCTGCTCTTATCTTGCAAACACATCACCTTTTTTGATAGCTAAAGCATTAATCTTTCTTTCTTTGCTTCCTTGCACTGTTTTAGTGCCATCCTTGTTGGTACAGCAAATACTGTTTCATCGATGTTGGAATAGGTAAAGTGTTAATATTCGCTTTGTTTAAATGTTCCTTTCCTATGGACTTCCGTATTGTACGCCTACAGAGATCTTGAAGTGGTTGCGGTTCAGCTAGAAAATAAAATAAGAATTGCTCAATCACAATGACATTGCATAATAACCAATACTTAACATAATATAATTCAGTGCCATTAAACTACTAATAAATCATTGGTATTGTCAGAATCAAACTTATAAATTAAAAGACCTTTTAAAGTGAACATGAAACAATGGTACGAAGTCGAGGTTGAACTAATTGCTAAAAAACAGTAAATATGCAAGTCATTGAACACAACAAGGTCAACCTCAACTTGGATACATTGTTTTGTGGGCCCTCAACCTAATTAGGTAAATGTCCGAATTAATTATCATTTTCTAGGCTTACGAAGAATTAGTTATGTAATTTTTGATTTTGAAATAATTAATACCAGTAATTTAAAATAAATTAATGAATAAATGTTTACTCAAATTAATTTTAAATCTATCTAAAGGAAGTTTTGATTGTAACAAATTTTCTAATTAACATTATTTTTTGGTTTGTTGGATTGCTAATTCTCTTCAGGAACTTAATGAAAATTTCCAATAAAAAAGAACTTATAAGAAACTTATAAAAATTTCTGATAGCTCTTTACAGTTTAACAGTCTATGAATTAAACGTCCTCATTTAATCTTGCCAACTATGGAGATTAAAGACTTTTATTGATATCCTGTAATAGCTTTTGGGCTGATCAAAATCAGGGAGGGTACAGCTATTTCACAGATGGGATTGGAATTTAGAGTTTTAATTGTGGAGGGAGGAAAACAGGCAAACCTAGAGAAACAGCTCAAGATTTATTTATTTCTCTATGGAAAACACCAGGAAATTATAACCTTGTGTTTGACATCCTTCATACAGGATACTAAACTATCCCACAGTGACTTTTGTTATTGTAAGATTATGCTGTAGTCAATGACAATTCACCTCAAAACTTCTTAAAGAAGCATTTGAAAGAATTCAGCTGCAATACTAAGATCTGTATTGACGAACAGATGTTAAAACGACAAAAGCTCTTTGTGTAGAATGTTGATAGGACAATAAGGGACTACAAACTTGTACAAAGAAAATTAGGCTGACAGCTTATAAGGAAACAGAAGAAATTAGATTGAATTTCTAATAACATTACAAAAAATATGTCTCATTTTTTGTTCTTGGTTTTTGAACCATCAAAATCTAAACAAAAAAAAACAAACAAAAACTTGTAACTGGTAGTTTCTCAAACTATGATGTAAATTGTAAAAAAAATCATTTGACATTTTGCTGTTCTCTTTGATAAACGTTTTATCAAAGGAAAAAAAATTCTAATTCAAATACTCTAAAATGTAGAAGAAAAAAAAGAGTCGAAGGAGAAATCTCATTTCCTTTGCTTTTTATAAAATCTCTTAAGTACTTTTTGTCCTTCTTCTTTTATTCTTTAAAAGAAGAAAATCTTAAATAAACTCGAATAAACTTAAATTGATGAAGATTCAAGTTTTCATTCATTAAAATGTTATAGAAATTTAAAAAAAAATTTTGTTTAAGTATAAAAATCTAAACTCTTCAGTGTCTAAAACATTTGGAATTAAAGAACAGAATTCTTAAAATTTTATTTATATTTCTCTCTATTATAGTTTACAAAAAAAAAGTAGACCTTAGGATATAAAAACGTTAATAGAATATTAACTTTTTCTCTACCTAATAACACTAGTACAGCAATTATGTAGTCAATTTATTGATAAATCCTCAACACATTCAACTGGAAAATTACTTTATTTGAATTTAGAGCTGTTTTTAGAACTTTTAAGATCAAGTTTCGACAAGTATTTCCATTGTTTTCTTCGTTTTAAAAGCGTGGCATTATTTGTTTATCAAAGGGATTTTTTGGGGAATATCAAATGAATGAAAATTCAAGGGGAATTTTCTGTGAGGTTGAGATCGTAGGTTGTGAAAGTTATTGTAGATAATATTCCCGTGAAGACGAATAGGACGATAGATAAACCCGTACATTCAAAGACCATCGCGTTCAACAGGTGAATCTGGACACAAGCCAACTCAAAGAAACGATTTTTATGACCATTGTTCTTTTGTCCAAGTCTAGATGTCCTTCGATACCCTAATACATGACATAAACACAACCAAAACACGAAAAAGAACTCCCAAAGTTCTCCGGAAAAAGTTTGAAAATATTAGTTTAAAAACATGATCGAGGATTTGTATGTTCTTTCTCGCTTAAGAGGTTTAGATTTATTATTATTTTTGATTCCTTTGATGAATAATTTATGTCTATTCATCGGGCTCTGACAAAGACCAGTCAGATGATGGAAAGATGAAAGAAAGATCGAAATTACACAATAATCAAAAATCGAACAACGTAAAATTTCACTTTCCGAAAATGAAAACCCAAAGGTTTTAGAAATCCCTCGTATTGGGTTCCGAAAATGAAAGAAAAAAAGCGAAAATATTTTTTTTACAAACTAACAGTTTCGAAGATGAAAGCATGATGATATCATCCTTATGAATGTTTTGATTTTAAAGCGTTGAAAGGATTCGTCTTATTTTCCCTTGCTCTTTAACCTTATCCTAAAAATATCTATTAGTTGTTCGACCCCGTTGATATTTCCTCCTATACCTATAGGCTATTTTCTTTATGCTTAAATAGCGTAAACATTAGCTTTTGATTTCATAGTTAGTAGTGCTCTTACGTAAAGGAAATGGTGGKCGAATGGGCGAATGGCAAGAAAATGAAATACTATTCCAAGGAAATTCTAGGCTAGTGATGACCAGTACTTCCAGAAACTTAGAAAACAATGTTATACAACTTTCATACTATAAACTTTAAATACTACAATAGAATTCAGTTTAGTATTGGATTTTAGATTAGTCACAGTATAGATGATCTTTTGGATCAATGGACGAATCGTAAACAAAGACTCAGTACTATTCCCCCCTATTGATATATGAAGAAGAATCCAATAATACTTACGATCTAGTCCACCAATGTAGTACATAGCTATCTCACAGTGTCCCCACACAGCAGATACTACAGGGTATACCGTATGGCCCTTGAGACCACGAAATGCAACTCCTAAGTATCTTCCATCTATTGTCTCAAAAGCTAGAGTTCCCTCGTCCATATCCAAGATGACACGAAATCTATCGGGCACAGTAAAGTTGTGTTCAACGTCTTGTTGAGCGGGATATTTAACCGTAGGATTATTTTTCTCATCGTGATAGAGTTTATTCCTTACAATATCCCAGCCCCAGCCATCGTCAGTTTTTCCGATCAGAGAATGATAGCCCGTGCAATGTAAGGGCGCTTTTTGGGTAGCAACACCGACTACTGCGTGAGTCCCGCGTTGTCGGGTTGACCAATTGATTTCCCAAACATGGAAACCCCTTGTAAAACCCTTTCGCCCGCGTATACAGTCCGTACTCTGAGCAACTGGATGTCTGTGAAACGTGAAAGGATCGTCGTCTTTGACGAAGACGTTGACCGATCGATCAGAAGGGTTCCAAGAGAAGTCCTTTTGTCGTTCTCTTGGTATTGGTGGACGATCGAGTACTGAATCCAGTTTTTCTGGACGCGCCAAATCGCGCGCACGATCTTCTTCTTCTTTGAGAAAATTCAGGGATTTATACAACCCTTGTCTGTTGTCGTTATGGTCACTTCTTTTCACTGAAGAAATTCGTGATCCCATGGCGTTGAAGGGATGGCGTGTAAAAAGATTTGGCGACAAACTTGAAGAATCCAACTTGAAACTACACCGGATCCGGGAAGATCTCTTGCTCTTCTTAACTATAATTCTGGACTATTTTCTGGAGAGAGAGAGAAACACACAAAGAAAATCAGAATGAAAGAAAGTGGGTAACAAAAATTCTACAGCTGATCAAAGTTCTGTTGAACGATTGATCGAAAATGGACATCACATTTCGAATAAATGACACAACAACACGCTTATAAGAAAGCCCCAAAACACTAAAATCCCCTTCGAAAACGATCTAGATTTTACCTATCTGACTTACATTCCAGTTGTGTTGTTCAGTGATTACTAAAGTAAGCACCTTCAACGCGATTTCTTTTTAAAACTCCAATGTGTCCTCTGAATGGCCTTTGTTGTCATCGAGAAAATTTTTGATCAATGATATTTATATCTCGTGCATGTATATATTGTATAGACGGTATGACGCATGCGCAGTCACCTTTGTGTATTCAAGCGTGAATCTAACACGTCTGAGCGAAACAACGTGTGTTGCACGCGTTATATTTCGTTTCCGGTTTCGTGAACAATTTAGCGAAGGGATTAAAAGAGTCAGGGAATGGTGCTCGGCTGTGCGTGAATCTCGAACTAGAACTCGGGGAAACTTTTGGGATCCCGTTCAGGAATCCCTAGCAGTGGTCTGGCGGTGACTTAATTGTTCAAACATGGTTGTATCTATAACATGTTGATGATTTTCCACTACATGACAAAGAACGCGAATTCCTTTGAGCTATTATCAGTTGGCACAGTGTCATCAGCATCAATTTTTAATCACAGTCGCGTAAGAAAAGCTTTTGGAGCATTTTATTGACTCCAAGAATAGCAGGTGATTGTTAAGTGCTCGGCGAAGCGTAGACGATGCGACCATATGCTACTAGCATGGGGAACAACGAACCCTTTACACTTCTATCTTATGTTCATCCATCGCTAGATGATCCAATTATTTTAACCTGATTCCTAAGACCTCTTGTAAACTCAGTAATTCAGTGCTCATAAAACACTGAACGCTACAAACCCGGGGTTACTAGCCTCAAACGCATCACAGTCCATTTGGCCCCCCGTGAATAAGTATTAACAGATATAGGATAATTTTTATTTTCTTTTGAAAATCATACGTTGTCCTTCGTGGTGGGTACCGCATAAACCCTTGTTCTAGGTCCTCGGGGCATAAAACATAACACGACCTATAAATCAAGAATTGGTCTTGGTAGTTATTGCRAAATATTCAAGTACGACTTGATTTTCCGGTCTATTGGAGCAGCGAGTGAACAAACGTTGAGTCACTTAGCGGATTCTGGTGCCGATAGGTCATGTAGTTTGTTCACAAAAACAATGAGTTAACTCTGGAATTCAATAAACATATTTCTTGAGCTAGTTAAGACATGTTTTTTGGACAGATTTTGAAGTCGGATAAAATGGCAAATGCCAGAAGTGAATAGCGTGCGGTTCTGTTCTCTCATGTGTTTTCTTGGTTTTGTTTGTTCTGTTGTGACTTATGGGCCGTATCGAAATCCCTTTGTAATTCATATTTTTGTAGGCTAACTATAACAGATCGTTGGACTCAGCGTTTTTCCACCAAAACTGTTCATCTGAAGTAAGTCCTAACGTCAAAAGGAAGTCTTAAATTTTTATTCCAAGTTCTACTTCCCATTACAGGGATCTCAAAGTTTTTTCTTTTGATTTACATGCTACCAAAATAAAATCGAGGAGTGTTCGGAAACAGCCGTAACGTTCCGGAATTGCATGGGACGTGTCGGAAAGTCACCGATCAGTCATCGGCCAAATAGTCGGAGAGAATGCGTGACGGGGTGATGTCACTGACAGAGGCAGTGCATTCATTCCAGACGCAATCGTGATTCGCTTAGAAACGGTGGGCACATCACGAACAATGACTAATTCAATATTTGTTTTCATCTTTCTTATTTCCTAGCATACCTCACTCTTAATCGACGAAGTTTGAAGTTTTTAAAAATGTGTGAAAATATTGCTTATCGTGTAGCTCGTCCTAGGGTATAAGAGCAGAGTCACGTAGTGCTTACATTTCGTGTGCTCGAACAAATCCTCTAAACAATCATCTATATATATCCCAAAATTAAAAAGAACAGTCCAACACGAAACGGATTTATGCTGTTATGAACCGATCAGTCACGATATAAATCCATATAGCTGGTCATACTTTTCCTTATAAGTCCATAAATTTTGTATTTTTAATTCATTTACTCTCAATCATAATAACTCCAAAAATCCTTATCTGTACTAATTATTTTCTATAGTATGACCGATATAAAAGATAACATTAGATACAAAATCCAGGGTTATATTAAATATACTTCCTATTGCAATTCACTACAGTACATATCTAGTCACGTCCATTTTTTTCATTAACTCTCATCAAGATTTTGCTCATTACTCCCCTTACAGTATAACAGATATTAAAAAAATTAGCATCTGTATACGCTGAAAGCCAAGATTACTTACAATATTACTTTGCATCGCAATTACTGGATTATGTTATGAGTCACGTCCATGTCATTAGTTTTACTCTAATATTTACTATTTTGAAATTGTTCTTAAAGGTCACGCGAATATCTCGACTTTAAATATATATTCCTCAGTACAAATCAAATATTTAGTCGCTTTTCTTTTCGGTTTTGAAATACATTATCGGAAAAATAAATTTGGAAATTAAGATGGAGAATAATGGTCTTCTGACGCCCGTCTGTACAGTAAAATAAAAAKAAAATAATAATAAAAATAAATAAAAAGTCTATCTGRAGATCTAGATTATTATTAATCAGATTATAGATTAATTGGATTAGTCGAAGTCAGTTAACCACATTAAAGGCATAGAAAAACATTGATCTGATCGCTAAATTAAAGTGCAAATAAACTTTGAAATGGGTTGACCCTAAAAGAACCAAAAGAATTTTTCCTCTTCCTTATTAAAATAATAGCTTTTATTTAAGACAAAGTTAAACAGAGTTGGAATTTAAAGCTCCTAACACCTTGAATTTATGTGTTGTTTCCTTTATTAGTTCTTCCTGCCTAGATCAAAAGGTATCCTTTTGTAGAACTGAATGAGAGCGAATTAGAGAGGATTTCCTTTTTGTGGCTTGTAAAGTTCCTATTATGTATGAAATCATTCATTTTGTGTTTAGAGGTGGAGTAGTAACATGTACTGCTTAAAAATGGGAAAAAGGGAGAGGAGAGAAGGAAGGGAGGAAAGAAGATAAGAGGAGAGAGAGAAAGAGAGGGAAGAAGGAGGGAGAGAGAGATGGGGGGGGAGGACCAAGAGCTAATAGAGCCCAGGCGTAGCTCACTTCGCTGGTGCGCGCTCTTCGAAGCTAGCGTTTCACGGTCATTATCGTTGAAGTACGACCCGCGAAGTTGGATGTCTGGTTTGCCAACTAGCCATTTCAACGATCGTCAAGCAAAGCACTGCATTTAAAAAAACTCAGTATCTTAAGGGAAATTTTAGACTGAGTTACTGAGTTGAATATTTTAATCCTCTAATTTTCTAAAATCTTTAATTCAGTCAATTATTATTCCGTTCTTTGATTGACGGTCGTCGAAATAGTGCTAGGCGGCAAAGGAGACACGATAAAACTTCGCGCGTTTCGCACTTCAACGATAAGGAAAAGAGAGGGAAAGAGGGAAAGAGAGGGGAGAGAAAGGGAGAGAAAAGGAAGAAGAAAACCGAGAGAAAAATAACTTAATAAAGATCTCTCATAGGGAGATAAAGGATGAAAAATGGAGAGAGATTTTAAAGCTACCAGTGAAGGGGGAGAGGGGTCATGATTGTTAACTTTACCTTCGAAATTCAATCTCTTTTAATTTTGGTCAGAATTAACGACTCCTAAGGGCACCGGGACTTTGGTAGCAAAGAGATAAATTCAAAATGTGTATTGACGTTCTTTAATATTTGTCGGAACACTAACCTCAGAATCTTGTACGGAAATACCAGAAGTGAAAGAATATCGTTGGGGTTCATTTATCCTTAGCGGATCCGAACATCAGTACGTGACATAGATATTCCCTATTCCGTTATTAAGGATTATTAGGAGCAAAAGACAATTAAGGGCACGTCAGAGCCATTGACATTTTACAAAACGAGATTTAGAGGGAAGGAAATGAAATACTGGACTCATTTGCGGTTCCGAAGTATCTCAATTGCAAATTGGACTAAAAAGCACACGGCATATTAAAGATAAAGAGACGAGACGAGACGGAACTAGAAGAGAGGAGAGGAGAAGAGAGGAGAGGAGAAGAGAGGAGAGGAGAAGAGAGGAGAGGAGAAGAGAGGAGAGGGAAAATATTTACGCATGCAGAATTTATAAATTATACAGTTAACATGTACTACGCCGGCTATGCGACAACTCGTCCTTGCTTTTTCAGTGTAGATTCTTAATAATAATAATATAATATGATTTATATAGCGCCTATACAAGTCGGCTCTAAGCGCTGTAAAATATATATAAATTATAATTCAAAAGCTAGTTTAAACAAATGAGTCTTAAGGTCTTTCTTAAAAGTTTTTAGACATGAAGTGTTTCTAAGAGGAGACGGTAGTGAATTCCATAGAACAGGAGCAGACACAGAAAAACAACGATAACCATAAGATTTAAGATTGTACGGACAAGTAACAAGAAGCAGTTCCTTGGATGAGCGGAGAGTTCTTTTAGGTTTATACACAGTTATGAGATCAGACAAGTAGACAGTAAAAAGTATTCTTACTTTTCGAATTTTTTTTTGGCATGCGAAAATGCCGATCTTGAAGTATTTAGTAGATGAGTATCAGAGTCTAGGGGTAATAGCTTACACCTGCGACAATTATAGCTTTTTATGGTGCAATTATTAAAACATGTTAAAAGGCACTCACGTTGGGATCGCCATTAGCCTTTCTGAGGTTGAGGAAAAAACTGGGTCGAGTTGGCATTGCAGTGGATTGTGGGATTGTTTTAGGGGAAAAACCGCCTCCCGGTTAGCTCAGTTGGTTGGACACTGGTCTGTTGTGCGGGAGGTCGTTGGTTCAAGCCCTCGCGGCCGGACTCACACTCA